AGTTGTACTAATGTAGCTAGTACTGTTTTGGTTGAAAAGCTTAATTTACCTATGATGAAGCATCCAAGGCCATATAAGCTGCAATGGTTAAATGATTGTGGAGAAATTAAGGTAAATAAGCAAGTTTTGGTTTCATTGTCTATCAGACGATATAAAGATGAGGTACTGTGCGACGTGGTTCCCATGCATGCTGGACATTTACTTTTGGGGAGACCATGGCAATATGATAGGAGAGTAACACATGATGGCTTCAAAAATCGCTATTCGTTCATCATGGAAGGAAAAACAATTACTCTTGTGCCGTTGAGTCCAAGGCAGGTTTATGAGGATCAACTGAGACTGAAAAAAGAGAGTAAGCTGAGAAAAGAGAGTGAGCTTGAGGGTATGAAAAACAGAGAGAAAACAGTAGAGAAAGAGTTAAAAAAGAGAGAAAAGATCGAGAGTGTTGAAAACAAAGAGAGAAAATCAGTGAGTGTTTCTGCAAAAGAAAGTGATGTCAAGGCTGCGTTCTTTGCAAAGCAGCCTATGTTTGTGCTTTTGTATAAAGATGCTTATTTCAATACTAATGAACTTAATGATTCTTTGCCTAGTGTTGTTAAATCTCTTTTGCAAGACTTCAAGGATGTGTTTCCAGATGACGTTCCTAATGGTTTGCCACCAATAAGAGGAATTGAGCATCAAATTGACTTCATTCCTGGTGCAACAATTCCAAACCGACCAGCATATCGAAGCAATCCCAATGAGACGGAAGAACTTCAAAGGCAGGTCGAAGAACTCATGAAAAAGGGACGTGAGAGAAAGCATGAGTCCATGTGTAGTTCCAGTGCTACTTGTGCCTAAGAAGGATGGGACTTGGCGTATGTGCATTGATTGTCGTGCGGTCAACAAAATCACTATTGTCTTTCTAGGGTATTTTGTTGCAGCTGATGGACAAACAAAAGTGGTTAATAGGACGTTGTCAACCTTATTGCGATCTATTATTCAGAAGAACTTGAAGAATTGGGAACAGTGTTTGCCGCACGTTGAATTTGCTTATAACCGGAGCATCCATTCAGCAACTAACTGCTCGCCATTTGAGGTTGCATATGGTTTTAATCCACTCACTTCTTTGGATTTATTGCCATTACCTATTGATGAACAAGCTAGTTTGGATGAGAAAAAGAAAGCTTAAGTGGTTAAGCAACTACATGAGAGGGTGCAGAAAAACATAGAGCGACGAACTGAGCAATATGCAAAACAAGCCAACAAAGGACGCAAGAAAGTTGTATTTGAACCTGAAGATTGGGTTTGGGTGCATATGCGAAAGGAGCGATTCCCTGCACAAAGGTGTTCTAAGTTGCAACCAAGAGGCGATGGACCATTTCGAGTGATTGCAAGGATAAACGACAACGCATACAAGTTGGAGCTTCCTAGTGAGTATAATGTTAGTGCTACTTTTAATGTTTCTGATCTTTCTCCTTTTGATGTAGGTGATGATTTAAGGACAAATTCTTTTGAGGAGAGAGGGAATGATGGGAATCAAGATGACCCCACATGTACCACATCAAGAGATCCATTACACATTCCAGGAGGCCAATCACGAGAGCTAGAGCTAGGAAGATGTGAGAAGCTTTAAATGGCCTTATTGAGCAGATCTGGGTTGATAACAACATACAACAAGTAAATCAAAGCTTGTATGATTATCAAGGCATGGTAAACATCATTCAAGTTCAAGAGAAGCTTAGTTGTGGTCATTTGCACAGAATTACAAAGTTTGCGTCAAAATCGCACAATTCTGCCGCAATTTGTAGCAAACTGATATTTCGTGTTATTTTAGGTTATTTTTAGTGATTTTCACCTTTTTGTATTATTTTTGGGCTGAACATTCGTTTATTTGAAGCCCAATTCGTGGTTATTAGGTTTAGGACTTAGGGTGTTAGTTTCCTATTCTGATTAAGATTTGTTTTCTCTATTTAAAAGGCTTGTAACCCTAATGGAGAGAAGGCTATTGAATTTGAGATTTTGAGAGACTTTTCTCTTTAGTTCATTTCAGAACTTTACAGAACTTATCAAGATTATTCTTGTGGCATTCTAACCTGACTTATCATTCTCGTTCTTAATTGTTCGAGGGTGTGGCGTCAACCAACTTTATACCTCTGGTTCTTGTTGCGTCATAGACAACGGGTCAAGGTTTTACCTTTGGTTCTTGTTGCGACATAAACAACAGGTCAAGGTCCTATTATAAACCTGATTTAGCTTTCCTGGAGTTTATAAATCCCTTGTCGTGCTGTGGGTCTCATTGTTCTCTTTGGGGTTCTCATCACGATCTCCCCACCTTGTCAGATTTTGCTCTCTTTGGCCCCCTCTACCTCTCATAATTCTGTCCATGCTGAAATTTGAGTTCCGGGCATCATTGTTGAATGCATCTTTATAATCGTCATCGAAATCATCATCAGCATCATTCCTACGCAAATTCGGACTTCCATTCTGTGTTTGGTATAACTTGGCTATCGCTGCATCTTGCTTCTCCATTTTATCTTTAATCTCACAAACATGATGTCCAGCCTCTGAAATTGTTGTTGCATGGCTTTGAGCATGAAGGATTCATCCACATGGTGGCTTCTAGGGGTTGATTTGTCATCACCACTTGACATGATTGAAACCTGCAACAAATGTTAGAAACAGAAGAATAAAAAGGACCTCACAACACTCCCTTACGTGTTTCACTCCACTCTCTCACAGAATGGCACTCAACGCTCATGTTTTCACACTGTAGAACTTGGCTTTTCTCTCAAGTGTTGCTCTCACCTTTTGCCTTTTTCCCTCACTCAACTTTCCTCTTTCAGTTCGTTATTGAACTAAACAAGCTCAATTCAAGTTATTTTGCAGCAATCTAATTCCAACAAATCTGCAACAAGAGTTGAAGGAACGAAAAGACATGAAGGAACCAACAAGAAAAGCAATAAAAGAAACAAACCTGAACGAATTAAAAGAAAAAAAAATGGAAATTCGATTGGAACACAATGCAGGAAAAACAAATCAGTTCTAACACTTCCTACTGGGAATTGACTTGACTATTCCTTAATGTAGCAGGATTCCTAACTGAGGAAGGAATAAACAAAATTGCTATCTCCTTGTTTGAATAGAATTCAAAGAAAATTTTCCAACTCCTTATTGTAGTGGGATTTCTATTCCTTAATGTAGTAG